CTGGGGCTGGAGGCGGCAGGGACATGCTGACTTGGGAGATGCATATTTAGGAGACAGAAGAGACAGAGCAGCTCCGGGGCTGTGGTCAGCTTGCTGGGACCACGCACAGAGATTCGGGCTAACACCAGTTTGACTGATGGTGGGATGCCTGGGTACGGCAGTAGGGAAGGCGGAGGAGGTCTGGGTTAGGGGCCAGATAGGTCTGTGCTGGAGCAGCAGGTGCATCGTGAAGGTGTCTGAGTGTGTATGGGGAGAGGAGTGCGACTGCTCGGAGGGAGTGCAGTGGACCAAGCTTAGGGAGACTTGCCTCGGGATCCAAAGGGGGCTTTTGAAGAAAACCTTTCAGTGAGTCAATTAATCTAACAACTAATCCATCCATCCTGAGTTAATTAATTCATCCAGCAACTAATCCATCCATCCATCACACTTTCTCTAAGTTAAGCTTGTCTATCCTGAGGAGCTATTTCCTTCCTTGATGCTTGTTTCTTTTTGCCTTTAGCCACTAGAAAGCTCAGAATCAACATAAATTTTATAATAAATTATGCCCTATATGGTTGAATTTTAATTCTACCAGTTCTACTTTTCCTGGCTTTAATTACTTACATATATACATGTGTGTGTATATGTATGCACATACATATTTTATAGAGAGAGTATGTACATATTTTTTCTTTCTTTCTTTTTTTTTTTGAGACAGAGCCTCAAGCTATCCCCCTGGGTAGAGTGCCGTGGCATTACAGCTCACAGCAACCTCCAACTCCTGGGCTCTAGCAAGTCTCCTGCCTCCACCTCCCAAGTAGCTGGGACCACAGGCGCCCGCCACAACGCCCGGCTATTTTTTGGTTGCAGCCGTCATTGTTGTTTGGCGGGTCCGGGCTGGGGATTTGAACCCGCCACCTTAGGTGTACGTGGCTGGCGCTTAGCTGGTTGAGCTATAGGCGCCGAGCCGTACATATTTTTTCTTAATTTTTACAATCTAAACATACCAGTTTACAGCATGAATTTTGTATGGGGGATGAAGGTTTTCCAGTCATAAAAATACACATTTTAGAAACTCTCTGTTTCGAATCGTCAGGACTTGGAACAGGTATTAAGCAAAATGCTAATTTTTAAAAGAAAACTTCAGGGTTTCATGGTTAATCCGGGGGCCTAGGGTGGGGAATAGAAGAAAATATTGATGGATGTAACAGATAGAGGCTGAAACAGAAGGCTGGGGAGCTTCCCAGTGCTGCTGAAATGCTCAGGAATGTACATGTTAGCAGCAATCACAGTTATAATTAAGACAGTCATGACGATATTTATACTATTATTGAATGAGTCTGAGATCTATATAACCTTTCTACATTAACAAAGTGGCTTCACACTGATTTTCTTGTTTGCTCCTGTCCAACCAAACTGCCTCTTTCTTACAATAATTCAAAATCACTTTCCACAGGGAAAGGAGATTCCTGCTGACACATGTGGTGACAAGGCAGCGCTCATGGTGCATCAGGTTTCAATCTGCATGACGTTGGCCACATTACTCACCTGCTCCGCCCTGTGTCTTTGGCAGGCAGAACTTGCTGTGACAATACAAGGTTTTCAGACTCAGGCAAGCAGTGGGAGGAGGACGTGGCTTGTTACTTCACTCAACAACTGTTCCCCGGGCCCCTTTGCTATGCCCCGCACTGTGCTGGGCTCTGGGGAGGCTCATGAGCTCTCCATGAATCCCACTGCGTCCATCGAATGCAAGCACATCCTTTACCCTTAGGTCACCTCTTAGATTTGGGTTTTTGAGTCTCCTGGAGAAGCTGGTTAAAAAGCAAAGATAGAGAAGAAGAACCTCTCTGGAGGGCCCAGGAGGCCACACAGAAATGAGTGCTCAAGGGGATCTCAGCCACACTGGAGTCCAGGGACGCTGTTCTAGGTACTGTCCTTCTCCAGACTCAGCCACAGAGGAAGGGTTGGAGCCAGAGAGCATTTCCTGCCTCTCATACCCCATAATCAGTAAAGGGATGGGGGACAGAGTTGTTATAAAGAAATCCAGTGAGCAAAGATGCTACGACTCAGTTGTCGTAATCTGTTCCTGGGCCTTGAGTAATTTAAGATAAAAAAGCTATTGACATTGCCCTGAAGGGTCTCTCAGTCTATGGGAGTGGCTGACAAGGAGATAGGGGCCAGGTGGCAGGTGGCCCTTGCTCCTCCACTAGGAAGGAGCTCATGTGGGGAGGTAGCTCAGCCAGGGCTTCCAGCCGTCCACTTTCACAGTAAAGGCTGGGTCATTTCTGGTTCCTGGACAATGGTTGCACTTCTCCCTATTCCTCTTGCTAAGTACAGCTAAAAGTACCGGGCATTATGTATAAAAGAAACATAGGCAGACCCTGAAAGGAGGAGAGAGGAGGCAATCTGGCCAGGATCTTGAACAACAGAGTAGTGAATTCCCTGATTTTTTTTCATATCTTAGATTGGGTGCTGGGGAAGCCAGCAACCTAGAAATGCCCCTGGGAATGAAGAAGAAAAGGTCTATGAAACACCTGCTCTTCTAGCTAAAGGATCAGAAAGGAAGCCTAGTGTGACAATAACATTTAGATAATAACCCTCTGCCCTAATAAAATCACAGAAAAACTTGCACCCTTTGCCTCCAAGCAAAGAGGGGAAGCCTCAGCCACGGTTAAAAGATGTCCCTGCTCTGTCCACCATCCCTGGGATCTCAGTATGGGCAGTGGGGATCGGACTTCAACCTCCACTTGGTGGTCGGGAGGTAGCATTTCTACTCCACCACTGGCATTTAGTAACTTCTGAAGTCTCAGAGAAAAATACCGAAATATCCAGGTATGAGCAAAACATACTCTGTTAATTAAGAATCAGAAACATATCAATTTAAATGAGAAAAGACAATTAGCAGATGCCCACACTGAGCTAAGACGTTGGAATTATTGGAAAATGGTTTCTAAAGCAGCCATCGTAAAATGATTTCACAAGCAGTTGCAAATGTGGTTGAAACAAATGAAAAAATTAAAATCACAGCCAAGAAATAGATGTAAAGAACCAAATGAAAATTTTGAGACTGAAAAATGTAATGACTGAAATAAAAAAAATATTCAGTCGATGGGCTCAACTGCAGAACGGACTCTACAGAGGAAAGAATCAGTGAACTTAAAGATAGAAAAAAAGAAATGGCCCAATATATAAGAACAGAAAAATAGACTGAAAAATAAAATGAACAATCATGAGCACAATAGATTTTGACAAATGATCTGACGTGTGTCATCAAAATTACAGAGAAAAGGGAAAAGACAGGAGTTCTGAAAAGGTGTTTAAGAAATAATGGTTGGCTCTGTGCCTGTAGTTCAGTGGTTAGGGTGCTGGCCACATACACTGGGGCTGGCAGGTTCAAACCTGCTAAAACGACAATGACAACTACAATTAAAAAATAGCCAGGCATTGTGGTGGGCGCCTGTAGTCCCAGCTACTTGGGAAGTTGAGGAAAGAGAATAGCTGAAGCCCAAGAATTTGAGGTTGTTGTGAGCTGTGATGCCACAGCACTCCACCTAGGGTAACATAGTAAGACTCATTAAAAAAAAAAAAAAAAGAAAGAATGGCCGAAAAGTTTGGCAAAATACTTAAATCTAGAGATTCAAGAAGTTAAGCATACCTTGCAAACAAGACAAAGTCAAAGAAATTTATTGCAAGACACATTATAATCAAACTCCTAAAAACTAAAGACAGAGAAAAGAATCTTTAAAGCAGTATGTAAAAATGACATTTTATTTATTGGGGAAAAACTATTAGAATGTCAATAAATGTATCATCAGAATTCATGGGGGTTAGGAGAAATTGGCACAATTTCTTTTAAATACTGTCAACCCAAATCCTATATCCAGTAAAAATGACTTTAGGAACGAAAGGAAATCAAGATCTTGTCCAGAGAAGGGAAATTCATCACCAACAAGCCTACCTTAAAAGAATGTTTAAGGGGAGTTATCTAAACAGAAATAAAACGACGTAAGAAGGATTCTAGAACATTAGGAGAGAAGAAAGAACAAAAGGAGATAAAGTACAGATAAAAACAACAGACTTTTCTTCACTTTTCAGTTCTAAATTATGTTCGATGGTTGAAACAAAATCATAATACTATTCGATGCAATTCTGAAAGTATGTAGACAAAATATTCAAGACAATTATATAGCAAATGGGAGAAGTTAAAGGGATGTAAATGGAGGTAGAGTTTCTACACTGCACTCAGGTTTCCAGAATTTTATACTCATAAAGTGTTATAATATTTACATCTACTTTTTTGTTACTTTGCATGATGTATTTCAAGCTCACCCATATTGTTTCTATTATGCTGTACAATGGAGTAAGGATGGTCTTTTCAATGATTGGTGTGGAGAAATTAGGTTATCCATAAGCAAAAAAAAAAAAAAAAAAAACCTTATAACAAAATTAGCTCAAAGTAGATCACTGAATTAAATGTAAAATGTAAAACTATAGAACTTTTAGCACAAAATAACTTATGTAGAAAATCTTTGGCACTTTGGCCTTGGTGACACCAAAAGTATGATTCATAAAAGAAAAAAACTGATGCTCAGACTACATCACAATTAAAAATGTTCGCTATTTGACAAGTTTTGTTAAGGAGGAAGCCAGGCCAGACTGAGAAAAGAAAAAAATGCAAATCATGTATCTGACAAAGGACTTGTGTCCACAAAATTTTCAAATTTTAACATTAAAAACCACAAACAATCTAACTAGAAGATAAGAAAAGCCGTTTCACCAAAGCGATTATGTAGATGGTCGTTAAGCCATGAAAAGAGGTTTAACATTAGTAGCTGCTAGAAAATATAATTTAAGAGATGTTATTTCCCATTTGTTTAATTTCTTATTTATGTTGTACTATTGAAACAGCTAAAATAAAAAATATAATGACAATACCAAATGCTGGTGAGGATGTGAAGAAATCGGATCTCTCATAATTGTTGGCTGAAATGTAAAATGGTACAGCCATTCTGAAAAATAGCTTGGAAATGTCTTTAAAAAACAACTACCCAGAATGATACAGAGAAGATTAGCATGGCCCCTGTGCCAGGATGACATGCAAATTTGTGAAGCGTTCTGTATTTTTTTTCGATATTGAAAAAAAAAGAAAAAAGGAAAAAACACCTACCCAGGAATCATTTTGGATATTTACCCAGATTAAAAAAAAATGTTCAAACAAAAATCTGTACAGAATGTTTTTAACAGCTTCATTTGTGATAGCCCAAACTGAAAACAACCAATTTGTCCCTCAAAAGGTGAAAAGTTAAACTGTGGTACGCCTGAGCAGTGCGGTTCCCTGTACTGAGGAACTGACTACTGACGTACTCAACAGCTTCGACTGACTTAAGGACACTTGGCTACTAAGTTAAACAAGCTAACTGCAAAAGGTCACATTCTGTGTGATTCCATTTATTAAACATTCTCAAACGGTAGAGTTGTGAAGACTGAACGCACATTGCCGGGGCTTAGGGATGTGGGGGTGGGTGGTGGGTGTGATGATTTTAGAAGGAGAACTTTGTGTTGATGGAGCACTTCTGTGTCCCATCGCAGTGGCTGTTGCCTAAACCCATGCGTGTGATCAGAGAACTATACACACACACCTTACAGCAATGTTAGTTCCCTGGTTTTGATATTGTCCTACCCTATGGAAAATGTAACTCTTATATGAAACTGAGCAAAAGCTCCAGGGGACCTCTTCCTACTATCTTTGTGACTTCCCTTGAATCCGTAAGTGTTTTAAACATAAAAAGCTGAAAAATCATAAAAGAAAACTTAGGCTCTGAGTTAAAACAATTGGGATCTCTCCCCAACATGGTGCTAATTGAGGGACGAGAACGCCACAGGAATGGGAAACTCAACAATTACCAGGTGTTTGTTTTAATTGGACGTGTTTTGAAAACTGAGAAAGAATGGCATAAGCATGGCCCTGAGGATGTCCAAGTATGGGTGGAGGAAAAGCTCTGCGAGCCTTGGTGTTATCCAGAAAAACAGCCGAAGAGAAAAAGGGAAGGGAAAAATCAAAAGAGGGTCGCATCTTAAAGACCCCTATAAGCTGGGCTGGCACTCATCCATATAACCCACAGGCCTCAGGGGGAGCTGCAGGGTTGCTGAGGGCAGCGGTGGAGGCTCCCCGGGACCTGCTGGCCTAGGCATGAGTGTCCTGGGGTTCACAGAGCACCTCCCCAAGGAAGCCATAAAACCTCACCCATTGGAGGTGACTGAGGGCAAGGTCAGGGCTCATCAAGTGAAAAGAGGCTTGCAGAATCACCAAAGGCTGGAGGGGTAAGGAGTGAATACAGAGCATAAAGAGTAAGTTCAATGTAACAGAAAGCGTGATGGGCTCTGAGAAATACATCTACTGCAATCAAGGAAGGAGAAAATTTTTCTTAAAAGAATTATAGTCACGAACATGTTTAAATATTCTCATGTCTATCCTGTTTATGTCATAACATGCCTGGTAAAGTTTAACATATGAAATTGAAAGAGATCACGATTAAAACACAAATGAACTGAAGTTGCTGGGTGTGCGTCAGGTTTTTAAACAGTTCCACAAACTAAATTCTGCACAACTGCATGCTGCGTCGTCCTTCTCGTATGGGCCCACGCCCAAGACTTGATTCAGAGTATGTCTGAAGGGCACCTGCCGTTCATCACGTCTATTCTCTCCTGGGAGAAGCCGGGGTCCTGGCCCAGGGACCCTGCATGCTGTGGTCACAGCATCTGAGACTGCCCCAAAACAAATTCCCCACTTCCCCAAAACTTAGAATTTGTCAGATGTGCCGCTCCCACAGGTCAGGCCCCCAGGTCTTTTCCCCTGGACAGAGACTCAATTCTACATTGCAGTATGCAGGGGAGGCTATGGCTTGTTGTGCCTGTGGTCGGGCTTCTCTCCCTACCGCCTTCTAGGCTTTCTGGCTATGCTGGGGCAAGGTGCCCTGTTGCAGAAGCCTGTGTGGGAAGGAGTGCAGGTGATCTCTGTCCAGTAGCCAGTGAGTGCTCACGAGGTGAGTGAGGCTGCAAGCAGCTCCACTCCCATCTGACCCTGTGATGACCACAGGGCTCTACTGTGGCTTGTGGGGGACGCTGAGTCCACCGAGCTGTGCTGGGATTCCCATCCCATGGAAACCATGTGATGATAAGTGTGTGCTTAGTGTGCCACTAAGCTTTGGGGAATTTGTCAGATAGCAATAGGTAACTAATACAGAGCTTAAAACTCATAGTGTATAAGAAAGTACACGTAGGGCAGTGCCTGTGGCTCATATGGGGTGCTGGCCCCATATGCTAGAGGTGGCGGGTTCAAGCCCGGTCCCAGGCCAAAACTGCAAAAAAAGAAAATAAACCTGTGATCAAATGGCCAAATCCAAACTGTATCGCAAGAACCACCTGCTGAGACCCTCTGGAGCACCTACTGCGGTTCACAGCCTTTTCATGGGTTTACAAAGGCGGCTGCCCTACGCATCCCACTGTGATGCTGGCTCTGCTGTGCAGGGATGGGGCTCTGCTTTCTCCCTCAAATCTGGTGACTTCTGAGGTTTGGTCACCCCTTGCCCTGTTGGGAAGCTCTCTTGGAGAATGCAGCTGCCATGCTGTGAGCAAGCCAAGGGACCCGAGCAGCCGCATGGAGGTGCGGCGGAGATCCCCGCTGGTGGCTGACACTGACTGCCATGGTGGAAGGGGGCAGACTTCAAGGGTTCCAGCCCCAACCCTGGGTGACACTAAGCAGTGCAGAGACGAGCTGTCCTGGGGACACACACAGTGTCACCCTGGTTTTAATCACCAAGTTCTAGGGTGATTGGTTACATAGCAGCAGATGTGCAGGCAGCTCATGCCTCACCTGTGTGAGTCTGGTGGCTGTGGAAGGAAGGCTGGTCACTGGACCCCTGGGACTTCTAAAGGGCTGGGCCCCTCCATCTGGGAGCTTGGAGCAGGGCTGTAGGTGAAATCGAAAGCCCTCATGTGGGGGCACCCAGGCCTGTCTGATATGTGGCATCTCTTTTAAATTTACTTAGAGGCCAGGCTGACCCTCAGCAGAGCAGGGGCAGAGAGAACATAGCTAGGGATGGCTCACCTCACTTCCCCGTGACGTATGATCTGCTCTGACCCAAGCATGTGAACCCTGCTCTGCAAAACAGGCCTGCAGTGGCTGCTGGAAATGCCCGCTCTGCTGGGCAGCCCCCGGGAGCAGCTCCCTGGCTCTCCCCAGTCAAAGTCCTTCCAGACATGGAATTATAGCCCCTGAAATGGGTCCCAGAAGAAGTGATCTTCCTGTCTCATATTCTGGGGACATTTCTGTGCCTTGTACACACCAGTGCTTGCAACAATCTGCCCTTTATTCTGTTCCAGGTTAAAATCTTCCCCAGACTCTCTGCAAATCACTCTGGTGCCCCAGAACACACAGTGCAGCTGCAGTGAGTCATCTGAGAGCAGTGACCAGGGACAAGAACATGCCACTGACTTGAGTAAAATGTCAGAGGAATGATCTGCCATTTCACAAGGCTGATGAAGGGAAGAGGAGAGGGGAGAACTGGATTACTTAGGGAAGGGAGACTGAAGACAGTACAATTCAAGACAATAGATCTTGGATGAAAACAACAAAATCTGCCTCTCAGGCAACAGGTGGCGGGTGGTGACAAGGGAGGACCCCAGATGAGATGGAAAGACCCAGAGTGCAGCCAGTCTAACAGCTGCAGGCAGATCACATGGAATGGCACTCTCTTTAAAAAGAAGAAAGCTGCAACTTAAATTAATCGTTCATTCATTCACTCATTCCATAAACAGTCATTGGATGCCTTTATGTGAAAACTTCATATGGGGATACACGAGGGACCAGATGCCCCCTGATTTCTGCCTTCATGGACATGTTACTGTAGTGGGGAAAAGATGTGAAGCAAAGATTTTCTCAAGTAAAGAGTTCAATTTGAATCTTGAAAATTGTTAGGAAGAGGGGAAAAATGGAGGAGCTCTAGCTGGTTGGGGTCAGAGAAGGCTCCTTGAGGAGGTGACACTGACATGGAACCTGGAGGGAGCAGCCGGTCGAATGGTCTCTCTTGCCCTGCAGACAGTGTGTGGTGTGCGGCATGTCCACTCCACAATGCAGGTATTCGTGTTCAGAGATAGTATGGAACCCTATTAGTTAGGGCCCCTGACTGCAGACAAGAGAAACAGGCTGGCTGTTTTAGCCAGGAAAGGGATTTATTTCAAAAATCACCAGGAAGGCTAGAGAACCAGGTGTGGCAGATGGGCAGTGACAAAGGAGGTAGGACCTTGGGCCCAGAGCTAGGCAAGTAGGCCTGATCCCTACTCCTGCATCTGGAGGTGTACTCAGCCACCCAGCCAGCCACAAAAGTAGGGATTCAGACTCCGTGGGGCAGCCTCCATCCCCACGTGGGACATTCCTATACTATGTGAGTGTGTGGCCAGGTGGAGATGGTGCATGCGTGGCTCGGGGCACATGCTCTTTCTGGCGCTCTGGACCATGGTGGGAATGAGCTTGCTGCTGTCCCCAGCAGGGATGCGTGCTTAATTTTGCATTGTAAAGTATACTCATTGCATGCACTTGAATGCAGCATTTGATCACCTATCAAACTAAAGCCTTTTAAGACATCATAGCCATCCATTGATTAGGTGGTGAGGAAATCACCCTGATACTTTGAGATCCAATATTTCTGGAAAGCAGTTTGACAATATGTACCCAAAAGCCTTGAAAATAAAGCCCTTGACTTAGTAGTTCTATACCTGGGAATATAGCCCAAGGAACTAATTAGAGGTGAGAACTCAGATTTACATTAAAAATGTAAGACCCAACAGGCTGGTGTTAAACAGGCTGTGTCAGTCAGAACTCATGCATGTGGTGCACAAGGCGTGGGCAAGAAGACTCACCTCCTTGAATCCTGGGGGTAGGAAGGTGGGGCTTCAGGAAGGGTATGATCCAGGGCTCCTGCAAAGCTCCTGGGATCTGTTGCTAGCTTCACACATCTCAGTGTCACTTCTTGTGTGTTCTGGTCCAAGGTAGGGTTTTTTCTCAAGCTTGAGAGCAGTTCCAGGGTTCACAGCTAGTAGCAAAGAGTGAATTGTAAGAGATGGGCT